TTTAAAGATAAAATACCAAAAGGATTCAGAATTGGATATTATAAATAGTGAAAACAGTACGGAACTAGTTAAAAATATATCTCTTTTTTGGAAACTTAGCAGAATTTTGCTTCGTTTTCTAAAACAAACATTTCAATATTTAAAAAATTACAACCAACTTTCGACTCTTTATTCGAAATCAAATTTATCAGAAGCGTTACTATATCAACATCTAGGTGTAACACTAATCCCTAAACTTTCATGGGACATGCATGTGAGTGAAGTACTGGCTCAATTAAGCACACTTATGTCTACATGAGACTAATAAGATGGAAACTAACTATCTTCTGAAAAGATAGTTATTTTACTGGAATTGAGCAAAAAACAAGATCTGGACTTTTAACCATATCTGCAAACTTTATTAACAATTTATCTACTTTAAGGCTCTGTGCACACAAATGACTAATTTTTTCACGCAACCTCTTACAAGAGTAAAGCGTTGGTTTCATCTTTTAATTCAAAACTTCTTCAATGAAATCGAAGTTGATTTGAAAATCGTGAATAAAAGTAAGAAAAACGTGAAAGACAGAAATTTCGAGTTTTTTGCTCAATTCCAACAAAATAAATATCTTTTCAGAGGATAGTTGACAACGATCTCTATCCGAATACGTAATCAGAAGTATGAAAAAGACTAAAGTTTTTTTTGGAAATTTATGAAAAGGATGATAGTACAGAACATTTCTGAAATTGTGTCCGGTCATCATTTTGATGTTGTAGCCCAGTAATTAGGGATTTAGTGGGGATGATTTTGGTACAGAAAAGATGTATTGAAGTTGGGGTAACTCATTCATAAAAAACGGTATCGTAGAGACCATTTTTTAATGAAAAGGTTCAAGTTTTATTGCCAATAAAACTTGTTGTCGGGCTAAATGTTCCATCATCCAACCAAATTTGTTTTATTTATATTGCAGTTTACGTGCTTAGTAACTCAACAATATTTTCATCACATGCTAAGTCTCAGATGTACTATTTACGAACTAAAAATCAAAGCTTACATTTGCTTCATTCGCTCACAGTTCACATTTTTTCATCAAAATGTCCTACAACAGTTTTTTCTTATTTAGTACCGTCATCGATTATAACCGAAACTACAAGATAAAACTTCATTTTAATCCCCTACCCCCCCCCCTCCCTCAAGGTTTTCTTTAGAGCTTTTTCAAAGCTAACAATTGCAATGGCAGTTGGGGCACTCCGAAAAAACGTTGTAAAAGTCCAGCAAAAATGGTAGTTTCGTTTTGGCCACCGGCAGTCCTCTGTTGTGAGTAGAGGATTGTTCCAGTGATAACATTCAAAACAGAACGTCTTAATGCATCTTTCTTCATTAACACATTATAAAAAATAAAAGTCTGTTTTGGTAAAAAACTTTGAGCAATAAACATTTTTTTATAAAAACCACCAATTTTAAATTTTAATTATCTCAGAAATGAAGCAACGTACAAAACAGCGACATACATCTGGATAATAAGACGTAAAGGATTGACTTTCTGGACTGTTCTATATGTAATCGACCTGCTCGTTCTGCCAGTAGCATTTTTAAACAGATGGCGAGTGATCGAAATTTTTTGAGAATCGGGAGAGTTCCCTTTTTGACTAGACCTCTCTATCAACATATTTCGAGCAATTTTTTGAATATTATATTTCCGGCCTTCACTAATACGATGGAGATTTTTCTTGCCGAATCCAACTAGTATTGCAGATAGTCGTGTTATTCTAAACAAGAGGTCAGCGAAAGCTTACGACTTTTTAAAAATTTGTAATATAATACTCACTGTCGGCACCGTTTCACATCGATACTAGGCATGCAACAATCCCAAGCCAGGGCTCGCTGACTGGCATCGAACATGTTCGGTCACCAAACGGTTCGTAACCGAACATGTTCGCTACCGATCAGCGAGCCCTAGCTTGAGATTGTTGCATGCCTAGTAGGGACTAAAGACAAACGGAATGAAATTCAAGTTTTTGAAGGAACTAACCAGTGAGAAAATAGGCTAACTAAAGTACAACGTGAGCGAATGTGTGTTCTACCCGATCACTACCGAACATGTTGGTAGAATGGTTCGCTACCAAAGGTTTCAAAAACTAGTTTGTCAAAGCTAAGAACGTGAGAGCGAAAAGCTACATGAAAGCAATCTCTGTAAAACAGAAAAAATGGTGCAGATTACACCATACGAAGGAGCAGCTATGATTACGCAATAGCCGTAGATAGTCAACTAAAGAACAGTTTGAGTTAGCGCAGCAATTTTAAGTTTGCTTTGGTCCAGGAAGTTCAAAGTACCTTTAGTTTCCATTATATCTTATTTACTCTCTAACTAAAGCATACTCTTACTAATGTGCCCTCTGTAGCAGATTGATTTACTTTGTTTTCATGCAAAAATGCTTTTCCTCACTGTGCAAATAAAGTAGATAGAAAGATGCAGTCCTAATTCGAATGTATCTTTATAAGGTTTATGGTATTTTGTTCTAATAGTTCCTCAGCAGAGGGCTCGCCGATATCTCCGATGAAAAAAACATAAACTATCGTATTTGCAATCTTCACAAATTTGGTCACCAAACATGTTCGGTTACGAACCGTTTGGTGGCCGAACGCTTGTTGCATGCCTAATCGATACTTCTCAAGCTTCTTTGCAGTAAAATAGATATCCTTTTTGTTTTACTCTATAATACAAAAATGTATTAGTATTTATTGACTATTTATGTAGTAGTATGATTAGTATTAATGTTTGATCTTCACGCTTGCTTTAATCTGCAGAAGATCTGATCAATCCTTGAAACGAAAACGACTGGACTATTTATTTTATAGTCTAAGGAAGGTTTTTCCAATAGTTAACATGGAAAATTTTAAGAATATCTGGAAGCAGAGTTTTCAGAAAACTCGGATTTCTGGCAAACCAAACTGGAATGTCTTATTTTCGGCTCGGATTCTCCTAATGATTGGTTATAGATTTCTAGACCGTCGATAAGTTTTGGCTTCACTCTTAATACCTCACATCTTGTTAGAGCCATCAATGGTTTTTCGACATCTGGTGGTCTACTAAGTACTGTCCTCTCTGAATGCTTCATTCTAGTTTTACCAATAAAATTTTGAGGATATAAGCTGGATAATAAGACGTCACGCAAATATTGTTTCAGATACATTATTCTATCCTTCAACTTTGTTATCGATATTGAACTTTCGATCGATAATGTTAAATAAATTATGTTGTTGAACATGCATTTGGACGAAATATTTGTGATATAGTTTAAATTAATTATTGACGATCATTAAGTCTAACAGTTTTAGATGGAACACTAGCACTTGGCAGCATCTAGAAAACGAATGCATCGTAACTATTTCGTATTTCTACTTCTGTCATTTGCCACTTATTCATATCAGCTGGATTAAATGGAGCCTCTCCAAAAGGTATACTCTCAAGCCTTCTTAGATTTTAGATGACCACAAAAATCCTGAATTTTTACTGTAGAGCGGATGAGTATTCGCAGAGTTATGCAGTAATGAAGGTAACATTTAAGTAAAAAATTTAATGACTGGTCCTATTTTTTAAAAACTTTATCAAAAATAACTATACAAACGTGATTCTAGTATAACCCTTCTCCCTTCCATAACAGAAGACCATCCTCTATTAGAAGGCCACTGCCGATTGTATGACTTGAAAGCCAAATAGAAGACCATGGTGGTCTAACCTCAAGAAGGCCACTGGTCTCCTAGGAATCGATCGGAAATTGCCCTATACCTACCTATGGGTTTTCTTTTTAAAAAATTTTTTAAAAAAGTTTCTCCAAAATGTTGTTCTAATAGGTGATGAACTTTAAGTATTTAAGGGGTTACTGTTGAACTGCTAACAGACGACAAAATTTGACCACAATAGAAGACCACCCTTGAGAATTTGACCTGCCGGACAAACTAGAAGACCAGATAGTCTGGGGGGGGGTGAGGGTTAGTTAGATCCAAAATCGTTTTTAGTTATGGTCGTATTCAAGATATTTTAAGAAAGGTATACAAGAATTTAGATTAATAATTAATTAGTTCTAATTAACGACAATTATGGTACATTATCATTTACAAATCAACGGTTAATCCATGGGTATCCAACCACTTTTTGGAAAAAGTTTTTTTATCGACTTTTTTCGTTCTAGTTAGCTGGGGCATGGTCAGAAAACAGCTTTGGTCGAAAAAAATTGCTGACTTTCACCTTAAATGAGGGAGATCTGGAGCTGTTTCTAGGAATATCTAATGAGGGTCATCCAAGTTATCTCAAGATTTTGGGCTCATATTTTGCCCATTGGTAGAGGACCACTAGACTAGCATAACCTCCAAAGGATTTGATTGAGATTTGACCTAGATATGAATGTTTTAAAACAAAGTATTTTTAGAAAAATTATAAAAGAATGAAAAATCTATGTTTTGAAACACTCATATCTCGGTTAAATCTCAATCAAAAGAAGAATCCTTTGGAGGTTATGCCAGTCTAGTGGTCCTCTACCAATGGGCAAAATATGAGCCCAAAATCTTGAAATAACTTGGATGATCCTCATTAGATGTTCCTAGAAACAGTGCTACAAATGTACTACAAAGCTGTATATGTGGTTTTGAAAAGAACAGGTAATAATGGATCGTATAAGGAATTCTTTTAAGACCGTTCCCGTCTCCGACATTCGAAAAGTAGTATTTCTTGTGAGTTTGAACATAATAATCTTTTTCAGGGGCGCCAATTGAAACAGATTATTTCCCTTCTTATCTATTGAATTTTGAATTTCATTTAAATGTTCTAAACGTGCTAAGTTAAAATGTCGCCACACAATCAATAGAAAAACAAAAATAATAAAAGTTTATTGAATACTAACAAATATTACTGTAGTAAAAGGTATGCACATTTATGCAGATCTCTAAGTAAATAATAAAACAATTTTATGCCTATGATAATGATAATAAAGATTTACTTCGATAATGATGAGTATTATATATGATCGAGCGGAAAGAAAAAAATAGTAATAATAATTATCATTTGGCTTTACTTATAATGAAAATTGGAACAACTAAACAAGTATGACTACATATGCGCATTGATATATTCAAGGTTTTCTATATCTGTATAGACTGAACAAGCAACCATAAATGATACTGATCGAGAAACAGTGACGATCACACTCGATTATGTTATTCAACAGTGTGGTGATTTGAACCGTTTCCAGCTTCTTCATTACTTTTTCCTAAATCTTCTTACCGCATCGGCCGGGATCGTTGCATATTATTACGTTTACGGTGCTGCCGAGCCTGATCATCGCTGTCGACTTCCATACAACATTTGGCCAAATGATCAATACAAAACTATTAATTATACTCATGAGCAGCTTATCGGTTCATGGGTGTCAAATGATGATAAATGTTTGATTTATGCTAATTTAAATCTTACAGACAAAATCGATTGTGGTACATCAAATGGATGGGTTTACGATCGATCGACGTACGGGTTTACCTTTACTGAAGAAGCTGACATGGTTTGTAAATCACGAACAAAGCGTAGTACACTTGCTACAATGATGCAAAGCGGCGGTCTCTTCTTGTTGATTATCGGATCATTGGGTGATAAATACGGACGAAAAATAACTGCTAGTATGATAACCGTAATCATATTTGTTATTTGTTTAATAACACAAATTGCCATGCAGTGGATACCAATGTCGATCAATATAAAGTAGGTATCTCGCCTCACGCTGCATGCATCCAGCATCATCAAAGTTCACCTGTTCTGGTTTAAAATTTTAATTTAAAATAAGCTTACCTATACCCTCGAATAAAAGAAGAAAATATGAAACAATTGATTGTTGCTTGTGTATGTGTGTGTATGAAGCAGGAGATAGGGAGAAGGGATCAGAACAAGAGAGAAAATGAGCGTGAATGTGCGCATGTAAATTATCCAGAAGGAAGAGAGCGGATAAAATAATAGAAATAAGAACTATAGAAAAGTAAAGAAACATTGCCACTGTCATGGTTTGGCAAATTTTTGTTTTTCAAACACCTGATTGCCCGTAATGGCAATTAGACCATTAAACATCACTGCAATTGCACGTGGAAACGTTGTTCTTTTTGTCGATTTAAACAATCTATCACACACATCTTTCTGATGTAATAGATGACAATAATCGTCATCACAATTAAAAATGAAATCGATGGCCAATTACGCTAGTCATCTAACGAAATTTGATTAAACGATTGTGATATTTTTTAGTTCAAATCAGATGAGCGCGTCACTTAAAGAATTATCTAGAATTTTTTATTGCTAAAGCTTTTTGAGCTGCTTTTGGTAGCATTTGATTCAGATTTGTTTGAACTACAAAATGATATATCGCGATCGAACTTTTTGAAAAGTTCGAGTGATTTTTTCGGGTCGGTTGATTTTCAGTCGCCACGAAAAGTTTTTTGATAGCGCAATGTTTTCAAAAAGCTCGATTGTAGTATATCATTTGTAGTCAAAACAAGTCTGAATTAAACGCTGCTAAAAGTAGCTCGAAATGTTTGTACAATAAAAAATTCTGGATGATTGTTTAAGTGACGCGCCCATCTCTGATTTGAACAATATCACAATCGTCAAATCAAATTTCGTTGGATGACTAGCACAACTGGTCATCGATTTCATTTTTAATTGTGGCGACGATTATTGTCATCCATTACATCAGACAGATGTGCATAGCTCGAAACGTTTTAGTAGCGAAAACTCAAGATGATTCTTGACTCGCTCATCTTTAGTTCCAATGCGTTTTGAGATGATTTGTAAAATGGGTCTTATTGACACAATCCCACCATTCGAGAAGAAGACTAATCGAAAAAACAAAAGAACTAAACAGTGGATACCATTTAACACTATGCATAGAAACAGATTTAGTCTTGATTGAAATTTCAAGTATCATCAGCTTTAATAGTCAGCTGTATATATATATATATATGTTCTTTTGTGTAGGTTTGGTTTACTACTTTTGAATCAGTTAGCATCAGGTTTGACAGCATCTTCGTACAGTATTATCTTTATCCTTATGTTAGAATTAAGCAGTTCAAGACATACAAGTCTGGCCGGAAATTCCGCTTTGGTTTCATTTACATTAGGTGAAGCATTACAAACCTTATTTGCTTATTTGTCTAGAAACTGGCAGCTGTTAAAATGGATAAATTTAGCATTCATCGCTCTAGGTTTACCTTATCTATATTTCATGCCGGAATCACCATACTTCCTATATTCGAAAAAAGAATGTCATAAACTGGAACAACTATTGAGACAAATAGCTCAAATGAATCAACGTCAAGAATCCGACTGGTATCCTTATTACCAAGAACTACTAAAAACCTCGTCATTTAGGGTGGTTGTACAACCACAGAAATTGTCATTTATTCAGAAAATAAAAAAATTGTTAACACATCAACCAACGGTACGAAAACTATTGATCATTGGTGCAATAGGATTTACAACGCT